TTTGGCCGCATGCATGACCGTAGAGCTGACATTTAAAAATGTATTCACGTTAGTTAATTATCAGCCGCGCCGATTTTCAGAATCACGTGACGCTAAAACAAACACAGTGTTCACAAAATATTAATAATAGAAAAGTACAAGTCAAGGGCTTTCCAAACATATATAGATTGTATAGGTTCTTGTAAAATTTACTCCGATTATAGATGTTTACATTTTCCATGCCAAAAAAACTATCTCGCTACCTTTTAATTAGCGAAACGAAATATATACTGATTAAAATCCCGTTATTTTTGATAAATAAAAATTCACGACTGAAAGATGAATATACTGGTAAAGTTTTGTTAAAGAAAATGTCTCCCCTGATTACAGTTTAATTGGAATTATGTGTATCATTTCGTTCCCAATGAATTCTAGCAAATTGATGTTATCTTCTTCAAAGTCCCTTTTTGATAGTAAACTGAAAAACAAAATAGTTGGAAATATTTTAGACAACTTCTTTGTTGAAAATGTAAATCAGCCAGCAATAAATCTATCTTTGTATTGAGTTTTACAAAGTTTGAGTATCTAATTCACTGGTATTGTAAGACATGATGCAGCTTCACATCCAAAACTTCTAAAACTGTCTTGTATTGACTGAGAGTGTAAAGGAAAATTCTATTTTAAAAGGCATGATATTAATCTAGAGCTTAGAATACATACAAATATGTATAAATGATCAACAAATGTTCTATATTAAACATACATATGTAAGAGTATACTGTAAAAGGATTAATTGTTCACTGGGTTTTAATTTTGCTTATTTCGCTGACTGGAAAATGTGCTAAATTAAAACCTGGTGAATATGTAAAACTGAGCATAGAACACATTATCTAAATGATAAAACCGTGAATTTAAAACCCACTGAATATGCCTGAAATGCTAAATCAGTGAAATTTAAACCCAGTCATTTTACAGTAGGCCATAACCATGCATATGGTGCTGGCTATTTTACATGTTTATTTCACAACATGCTTATATACACATTATTAGTGTACATGTCTATTCTGCATACTTATATGACTACAAATCCCGACAGACATTGCATTCTCTACTAAAATCACCAATTCATTCAAGAAACTTCAATATCTACTTAATAATAAAGATGCGGAAATGAACAAAAACGTTGGAAGTTTTCTTGCTTAATCACAACACGAAATGAAAATGCACAATCTTTCTTTTGAAGTTACTTGTACTTAGTTTTTGTTAGCCATATAGTTATTTTTAGTATTACTATTACTTCTCGCAGGCATGAAAATGTAGTTAGGGGCGCAAGTTTCACCTAGCATTAAACACACTAGAGGAACCGACAATATATCAGCCTTGTCAAAGAGGATCGATTATTTTATAGCCAGAAACTACTGAAAGCTCTCCCTACTGGTATATAGAGGGCGTTGGCTCTCCCTACTGGTATATAGAGGGCGTTGGCTTTTAGTGAGGCTGCAAAATTATATAGCCTGACTCGGGATTTGGTTCAGCAATAAAACTAATTTGAATATTGTCAAGTGAGAGTTTTACTGTCACAATCTCAGTAATGTCAATATAAGACAATATTTAAACTGCTGTGCAAGACTAACAAAACTTTCAAATATTATTAGTAAATAAACATGCCAGTACACATAAACAGAATGTTCACTTTTATTATTCCATTTCTTACACAGTTTACAATTGACATGGACGCTATATACTGAAGAAAATCAACTGCTCAATCATTTTTGGTTCCTATGTCATGGAAATACAACTGGTAAATGGAAGTAAATTTAAATAAATGAATATAAAAATTGTCTTTACATGGGCAAGCACATTTTTAGAAAATATATATACTCCGTGAGGTTTGTCAAAAATACTTTTTTACAAAACACACCTGTGTCTCTAGTTAAGCCACACACCACATGTTTTATTGGTGCAAACATGCGAATTCAGCATTTCATTAAATTTGTTTTTCAAATACTGTAAAATACTTTATTTTAGATGGAATTAATTTTCACTGAATAGACTTTTCGAGTGTTTTGTATGGAATTTATTTTCACTGATTTTTGACAAGTTGAATGTAAAATATAGGAAAAAAAGTGTATTCACTAGATTTTATTTTCACTGAATCATTCTTTCAGCGACAATTAATTCTAAGCGAAAATAAAGTATTCCACAGTATAAAATCCATTTTTATATGTGACCTCCAACATTGTCCCCTTCACTACATTCTATTTTCTTGCATATTAAAACTGTATCCTCCAGTTAAACCTTCAAACATGGTGGTTAACTTATGTATTGAAGTGGCAATAGTTGTGATTTTCAATATTATATGTACAGCTATCGCCAATTTAATTTGCTATTTTGTATAATGTATTTTCTCAATAATCCTTATATGGCAGTCCTGTTGTAAAGCACGAGTGTCTTGCTTGAATGTTTAATTGGTTCTTTTCATCGCCTTCTACAACTGTTATCATCAACAAAATGAT